CATTCGCGGCCATCTCTGGGCTGCTTGTGATCCAGAGAATAGCAAGCGCCATGCGAGCCCGCTAAGCCAGCCAATGTGGCACAACTCCTGCCGTCATGGGTCGACCGCAACACAAGAGTGATTGTGAGCTGCAGGCAAGCCTGCGCACCCACAAGCGTTCATTGTTCGCAACGACAACGCAAAAGCCATGTCATATCTCGCGTAAGAATGCGCCCATGCTTCGGCGAGGACTAGCATATATGCACAGCAGTAGCGCGACTGCTGTAGCTGGCGCCGCTACGTAAGCAATTCCGATGACCCGCAAAGCTTGCTCACCGTCATCTGGCAATGCGAATGCGAATGTTGGAAGAAGGACTTGGCGTCTGGGCACAAGGAGCGGTCGATTCAGCATCGAATCACAATCACGAGTGAACGGTGCACAGACTCTCGACTGCGCTGGTCTAGTGCAGGCGCGCCCTGCTGGACCGACGCGCCTTTGAGTAGAACAAAGGGCTGTGCGCGTACGTTTTCATGCATATCGCAATGGTCAAACAACTCGATCGTGGAAATGTTGACCGCTCTGCCTTCAACCTCTGCTCGAGAAGCGCTTTTGTAATCCTCGCGACATGACCAACGCGACACTAGTCTACTGTCCGCGGGCCCGAGATCGGGGCTGCGCAAGGTCGAGGATCGACCTGGTCTTTATTTTTTCCCCCTCCGAGTCAGCTGTCGTCCGCACACAGACAGCTCGCTGCTGTCGAGCCTGTGATGCCCACACATTATATACGTGTACAGTCAAGCATCACTTTGAGCGCAGGGTCGTGTGCAACGTCATCCCGTGACGAGCGGCCTGCTCCCTGTCTGCTCCAGTCTTGAGACTCGTGAATGTGAGGCTGCCTATCTCGATCATTTATCAGAGCTGGACGCGTGTGCCATTGCGCGCGCCTGTGCATTCGCGGGTCCGAGAGCAAGTGAGTGTCGTGACGCACAGGTGAGACAATTGAGAGCAGTAGTAATAGTAGTAGTAATGGCTGCGAGTTGTTGGAACAAGGCGTGGGAGGTGCGCTCGATCGTGAATGGTGAATGACCTCTACGTATACCTGCCCTGCTGATCATGGTGCCCTGCTACGAGCGATCGCTGCCTGGGCGGCACTCTCACAAACAAAATGGGAAAAGAAAAATCTTGTCCTGCTCCTCTGAGGCGTGCGAGCAGACTTGGGACCGGATGGTGCACGGGATCAAAAAACGCAGCTGCCTCTCAATTAATTCATCCTGATGATGAGATGGGTCACGCCGCGGTCGGTCCTTGATCAGCGCTGCCGTTGACGCTTGTTTGCCGCGGTCACGTGCAAGCCAGCACCCGACTCAAATTGCGCGCGCATTTCCGCGTACGTCCATGTACCGGGCGTAGCCCTTTGATTATGCACTCATCTCTATTATTATAGAATCTGCCCTCAAAATGTGACTTGACTGCACGGTTGGACCTCCAAGATCGATTCATCAACATTTCAAATTGATGTCAACAGTCAGGTCCAAGATGGGACGTCCTTAGGCCGGGATGGGTCTTCAGTCTGGCCTGACTTCTCGTGAAATTGAATACGTGATTCACGATTTCAGAACAGACTTCACGCAAAGAAGACTGTCTGACTGCATGGTGAGTGACGGTTGACTTGCGCAGTGCGTCGCTGCAAATAACGGTCACGTGGTGCGCGCCTGCAATCTTGAATGCAATGGACACTCGACTTTTGAATTCGTGATTTGAATCTGAATCATGACCAAGGATCATCAATTGAAAGGTCACACTCACAACAGAGAAGTTCACGTGAGCATTCACAGTCAAACTCGTGACTGCAATCACGTGAATCGTACGTTGAGTGTGACGTACCGTACCCAAAGACAAATTCTCGATGGGGCAGCAAGACTTTCAAGACTACCCCACAACGCGATTGCTAATGACGAGGGCGACATGAAGCCAAAAGAAGCGACCCTATCTTCGCGCTGGCATGGCATGCACGCACGTGCAACAGAGCTGATGGTGTCGTCGTCGCGAAGCCAAATGGCGCAAGCAGCATCGATCGATCACATCAGATTTCGCGCAGACGAGCCATGGATGGCACCCTCGCGCCGGCGTGTGCGTGCAAGCAGGCATCATGCATCAGGTCAGGCACTCAGCATCCGCAAGTCACGCCGCGTCTCCGCG